CACATTGGAACTAAGGGGTGATAGTATTGATATGTCACAAACTGCAGATGCACACAACCTAGAAGGCACCAATTCCCTGTCATGATAGGGTGGGATGTGTGTTATAGTCAGTAGGCATGGGTTATGCCAAAATCCATTAATATTCCCTAATTTGGAAAGAGGACATCAGCCAGAGGAGAGGTGCTCCACCTCTTCCAGTTCCCAGGTCCAGTCGTGGGGAACTAGTCTCAGAAGGTGTTGTATTTCTTCCTGGGTGGGAGGAAGACAACCAGATGGTGACTCTGTTAGAGCTGGGAAGATAAACTTTTAAGAACCCAGATACAAGCATACATACCATCTGGGATGGTAGCCAAGCCAAACAGAAAATTCAATGTGGCAGACCAGACCCTGGTTCAGAGGATTTGCCCAGCCTGAAGGAGACAGACTTCCCTGCTGAGACAGCCTGCAGCCCCAGCTCAGTCTCCCCCAAACCCAGGTCCTGGGACATTGAACTACTCAGGCAAACTTCTATCAACCAACTCCCAAAGTTAAAATCAGGGAGTAAAATTCTAATAGTTTCCAGGTGAGGGGATCCAATAAGAATCCAACAAGTTTGCTGACAAGCATCAGGACTGGATTTGTCCTTCATCAGTAAAAAGTTAACACGGGGTTGTGAAGATAGTATATAATCCCAAAACATGGAGGAAAACCATCATTCAAGGAATGGAGCATGAGGATATTTGTAAAAGTATTTACTATAAGAAAGAAGATTTAGGTAGTTTCTATTTTCATGGTGTATATAAAATTCAAAAAAGCATGGAATTGATTAAATAAAAGATGAACAATAAAACTCTAAGGCAATAGGTAGACAAACAAGGATCTGGCTGGACTAAGTTAAAGAAAGGCTGTGAGGAATATAATAATAATCAAAAATAAATTTAAAACAGAATTAAAAGCAGAAAGAGGAGAATCTGCATTACTGTAAGTCAAATTAATCATGTGAACAAATATGAGAAACCTCCTCTAACGCAAAGGAAAAGGACAAAAATATTAAAATGATGGGAAGATGATGAAAATGAAGAAAAGAAAACAGAAACAACACATGGTGCACCTTAAGAAGAGGGCAGAACAAACAGAACAGACAGTAATTAAATAAAAAACCACAGGAAGCTTCCTCCAGTGAAAAAAGACCCGAATCCAGAGGATAAAGGACTCACACATTCCATACAATGTAAATGAAGAGAACAAGATTAGCTAGATGTGTTCAAGGAAATCCTTACAATTTAAATAAGTAAAGAACTCTACCAATATCCAGGATGGAGACAAACAACCTGAAAAGGGGCCAAAAGTGGGATGGCCACAGACTTCTCTATGGCAGTAAGTGACAGACTACAATCAAGCAAACTGACAAAGTCTGGGGGGAAAATGTTTTTATTCAGCATGAAGAAGATATATAAGAATTTAGAAAGTATATAATTACAGAGCCATCCTGAAAAATTTACTCAAATTCATGAGAATAACTGGATTTCCACATGCAAAAGAATGAAGTTGGACCCCTATCTTAGATAACATACAAAAATTAACTCAAAATGGATCAATGACCCAAACATAAGCATTAAAACCATAAAACTCTTAGCAGAAAACACAGGGGAAAAGCTTCATGACACTGGATTTGGCAATGGTTTCTTGGGTATGACACCAAAAGCATAGGTGACAAAAGTAAAAAGAAATTGGACTACATCAGTGTTAAAAACTTGTGCATCAAAAAAACATTGTCAAGAAACTGAAAAGACAAAATACAGAATAAGAGAAAATATTTGCAAATCATATACCTATCGGTGATTGATATACAGCACATATAAAGAACTCCTACAACTCAACAACAACAATTCAAGTAAAAAATGGGCATTGGACTTCAAAAGTCATTTCTTTAAAGAAGAGCTACAAATTGTACTCAAAAGAAATCAAAGTAGGGACTTGGATAGATACTGTACACCCAAGTTCATAGCAGCATTACTCACAACAGCTGAAAGGCAGAAGCAATCCAAGTGTCCATCAACAGATGAATGGATAAACAAAATACGGTATATACATGCAATGGAATATTATACAACCTTAGAAAGTAAGGAAATTCTGACAACATGCAACAATGAACTTTGAAGTCATCTTGCTGAGTCAAACAAGCCAGTGACAAAAGGACAAATCTGCTTTATGAGGTACTTAAGTAGTCAAATTCAGAGTCAGAAGTGGAACATGGGTTCCTAGGGGCTGGGGAGAGAAAGAATGGGGATTTAGTGTTTATTGAATAGAGTTTAATAGATTTGGAAGATGAAAAAATTCTTGAGATGGATGGTGGTGATGTTGTACAACAATGTGAATGTACTTAATGCCACAAAACAGTACACTTAAAATGATTAAAATGGTAAGTTTTATGTTATGTGTATTTTATCACAATAAAAAAACACAATCCATATAGAAAAAGGTAGAAAGTATATAATACAGTAAGGAAATATAAAAGCCAGAAAACATGACAGAAGCCCAGAATATCAATTATGACAAAAAAAAAAATACGTGGATTAAACTCCTTTATAGACTCTCAGATGGAACACAATGATTTCAATTTTCTGCTGTTTTTAATATACAATATGATGATGTAATAGTCAAGAAGGAATCCTTCTTTACTATTAATGACATTAAGCATAATCATATAAAGCATAAACTACTAGAAGTATGAAAAGAAGCTGGCAAAAACACAATAGTGGTAGAAGGTTTTAACATACCATTCTCAGACCTTGGTAGATCAATTAGGCAAAAACTAAAATAGAAACATGGTCTTATCCATTGTTCATAAAAAATGTAGAAAAATCATGGCAAAGAGAATCTTAAATATTCTAAAAAGAAATTGTGCTGGCTACATCTTTTGACCAGTACAAAACAAAAACAAAAAATGTTTATATACAAAATACTTCTAAACTACTTAGAAGTTTAAAAAAAAAAACAAAACTAAAAACAAGAGAAAGAGAAACACAAAGACACTTTAGTTAACCCCATCAACTAAGAAGACAATTACAATATACAAAACAGGAACCAGAAAGATAGAGTCACATACATGGAGAGATTAATCTGCTGAACTATATGCTAATTAAACATATGAATAAAGTGGATGGTGTCCTAGGATAAAATTAATGAGGAAAATTCATTTAAAAGAAGTAAGAACATTTTAAGAACATTTACAGATAAAATGATAAAATTGCTAAGAAGGTGCTAGGCTCAGATTACTAGTGATTCTTTTAATTTTCCAGGGAATATACAGTTCCCATAAATTTTTTACAGAGCAAATGAAAAATATTTCTAGGCCCATACGTCCAGACTTTACAAATGAAAGTATTTGTCATTTTTGCTGCTGATCTTTTTAAAAACGTATAATTAACACAATACTGTTCATAAAGTTGAAGTTTCCTTATTGTCTTCCCAAGCCCCGTTTCCTCCCACCCACTTCCGTCTTCTGCCCAAACAACCCTGACCACGGATTCTGGATTCTGACAGATCCTGAGATAAAGTGGCATTTTTAATCTGTAGGGACACTATGAGCGACTGAGATGAAAGAAAAATGCTCAGCAGTTCAGGAAAGATTAAAAAAAAAATCAAGCCAGGTCCCTTTATCCCCTCTTACACCGAGATAAAGTCCAAGTAAACTAAGGAATTAAATATAAAAACGAATCACAAGAGGAACCAGAAGAGAAAGGAGATGAACATTTATCTAAACTTGTGGATATGAAGAACAGATGCTGAAGGTCCTGAAAACCTTAATTAAGAACTCCAGACTTCACAATTAGAAAACACAATTTCACAATATAGAATAAGCAGAGAACCCAAACAGGCAATGCACAGAAGAAACGCAATGGTTAATAAACACGAAACTATTTCAAAACTAATTCCAAAAACATGCAAATTAAAAAACTCTTAACAATGAGATACTCCTTTCACCTGGCCTCTCCCTCAATTTCATAATTTGGCAAAAATTAGAAAAAGGTAATGTGCTTAGAAGCCAGTGGGGAATCTGGCTCTCATATATTAACGATGGCAGTGGAAACTGACAGGACAATTTTCATCAAAACCTTAAAATATCATGCCCCTTGACTCAATAAGCCTGTATCTTAAAATTTATATAGAAGAAACAGAAGAGGTACATCAACTCTCTGTATGCCTTGTTTATAATAGGAAAAAATGGACCCAAACTAAATATCTAGCAATTGGACATTGGCTAGTAAGTTCTAATACATTTCTGTGATGAAAGACTTTGCAGTCTTTAAAAATTACATAGTAAAAGAACATTTAATATCAGAAAAATGTTTGTGATATATTGACACATGGAAAAAAGGACGTCACAAATCATTACCCAAACATGGAGAAAAGGTTAAAAATGGCTTTCTCTGGGTGTCGAAATTGCATCTAATTTTTATTTTCCATGTTAGCTGGTTTTCACTGGTTTTTCTTTACAATTAATAGATTGCTATTTTTATAATCAGAAAAAAGGATACGCTATAAATAATAAAACTCAACATTTGGAGTGTATGATGTTGCGATTGCTCAGGGAGAATATATAAAGTGAAAAGGGAAAAGGACAGGGGACAGAATCCTTGTGAACAACTAGATACAAGTGACTCTGGCAACATTTGTTTGTTCTCAAAACAGTAAGACCTGTCCATCAACCTTAAGGGTGGTCTGTACAATGTGTAATTGCATTTGCTTCCTGTTGGTTCACCTAAGGCTCCCTTGGGCTTCCATGATTTACACACTGAGGGCACTCAGACCAGATGACACTCTTTCCGAGCATACCTGCAGCCAGAAAGAATCTTCAAGGATCTTTTTCTCTCCTTTTTTGGCCCAGAGAACGGTGCAGCGGGCATTCCTCTATTCCTCTCCCCAGTTCCCTCGTAAAGCTCTAGATGGGAAACAACACACACAGACGTGTACGCACACCCCCCCCCCACCCCCAATTACCTCTCTCCCACACTTACCCTTCCAAGCTGGTTCCAAAAGGGAAAAAGATCTGCTATCCAGGGCTGGAGAAAATGGTTTTTATAGTCCTTCCTCTCCTCCCAAGAGGAGGCTACTGCCTCCTCCTCAACCCAAGATTCCTCAGGCAAGTGGGAGGGGAATGGGGGAAGGGCACTTACAGATCTTCAAGGACGATAAAGAAGGAAGTGGTCTTCCTTCCCCAGTTACATAATTAGGCAGCAAATGAACTGGAGCAGATTTAAAATATGTTTTTTTGAAACACTCCATGTCAATTTCGTTCTTGGGACAAAAACATACGGCACCATGAGAGTTCACTGTTTTTTAAACACTTGAAAAAATGTGTATTGAATCCTTGTTTTAAATTCTTTGACAGTTTCTAAGTGATAGAATTTATTGAAGTCTTCCCTATTTGGTGGCTGGAGTTTTACATATATATTACTTAGTAATCAGCACAAGGACTTAAAATAAAGATGGTATTATTAACATTTTATGTTAAAGAAGAGGAAAATGAGAAATGTCTCTGATTCTGAAACCATATTCATGTGAGACCGTGAAGACTTCAGAGGCTACTTAAAATTTCTTTGGGGACAATTTTGAACTATTCCAAAACTAAGTCATTAAGTATCAAATAAAGATGTTTAATGAGGTACGTGGGGGAAAAAATGGTAGCAGTAGGGAAGGCCCTGTCTTTGCACTGGACTTTGAAATGTGGCTAATCTGATAAAGGGAGTGTTTGCAAGAGGAAACGTTTATGTGTCCCTTTGCTGATAGGAAACTTCTTCTCCCTGGATAACAGGCTGTTAATTAATTATTGGCATAAATAAAAGCATAGGGTGAGAGATAGCTTAGAAGTTATGTGACTTATTTAGACTTCCTTGAAATCACTATCAAAAGTCTCAGCCTAAGACCTCACTTCTCAAGAAGCTCTTCATTGGAAAAGAAATCCATTTCTGTCACTAGCCAGTTTCCCAAACTGGGATCCCAGAGGCTCTAATTTCACCAAAGCCCTTTCACCTTTGTAATACTTAATTAAATCCTCCTATATCACATTTAGGTCAAAGACTCTGGAAAAGCTGACAGCTTGGAAAACCCACCTCACTGATCTTTGACAACTCCGAGCCTACGACAATGCCTGGTGCACAGTAGGAGCTCAGTGAATTTTTCTCAAATGTATTTGGTGGAATGGTAGGTTAATAGGTGCCCCAAAGTAAGTAATCCCAAAGGGTACTCCAGAGATGTGGAGAATTTGTCCATCTTCTCTATGAGATCAGAACTGGATTTGGCTCATGAATGAGGAGTCTGCATCTCCATGAGCTTTTCAATCCATATTTTTGACTTGGCAGACATGTATTCCTTTACTGATGTAGTTCTGGAAAGAAGAAAAAAGTCTTGATGGTTCTAGAGTACAGGGAGAATTTATTAACTAATTAGAACCCTTAAAATGATCTGCCTCCAGAAAGAGCCTAATCGAAATGTCTGAGCCTTGGCTTCGTAAGGGTTCCACCAGCATCTGTTCTTTTCAATTCACTGTGCTTGTCCAGAAACCCAGAGAGAAAGGGGAGCTGCTTCTAATAGACCTTGAAACAGAATGCCTCCTCATCTCTTGAATTAAGAGACAAAATGGGATCTAGACCCAGTACCACCTCTGACTAGCTGTGACCTTGAGAAAGTTACTTAAATGCCCCCAAGCTTCGTTGTTTTCATCAGCAGAGCACGGATTATACACACTGACCTAACAGCACTGTCATGAGACTTGTAGGATATAACCATACAATGTATTAATACAGTGACACTCCATGCATGGTAGTCAGCACCATTATCATCAAACAGCCCATGGTAAAAACAAGGCCTGGCTAAAATTCAAGAACCCTTCCAGAATCATAGCAGTATAGCTTAGTCACTTCACAAGTGACCTCTGAAATCAGATAATCCAGGCCTTGCCAACTATTAGTTGCCTGACTTGGGAAGGTGACTTAACTTGGGCCTCAGTTTTCTCATCCATAAAATGGATTCAATAATAATACACAGTTCATAGTTTTCTTCTGAGGACTGGATGTGCCAAGAAATAGAAACTATTTAGAATGTTGCTCAATACATATTCTCTTTTTTAACTCAGCACCGAGAATAAGACATAGTACACAGTAGGTACTCATGAGTAAATGATTTTTTTCCCTGAAATAATCTCTTGAATATAAGAAACTAATTAATGAAATTTTTTGTGTGCATTTTCTAGGATAAACTTGAAACTTTTGGGGGTGGTTTGAAAGAAATACAAAGCCTAGGTAGTTACTTCATTTCACATCAGATGTCATTTTATGACACCTGTGTCAACTAAATTTGTTCATGTTTTATACCTCTGCTTAACTCAAATACTTTGTTCCACAAAACAACACTACCTTTGCCCCCCACCCCCCCTAAATTCTCTGCCACTGTCCAGGTCTTCAACTTTTTACCTATTTATTCTTTCCTCTATCAGCTGAACCTTTATCAAGCCTCATCTCCCCCCTGATGGGCTGGATTGGGAAGATCATAAATTCTTTCACTGTGAGAAATGCATTTGCTTTGCTATGACTCTGCTTTGATATTGGCAAATCAATCACTATAGAATCCTACAGCTCAACGGCATCTGAATGCACTTTCTGGCCTTGAAGACATTTTGGAACCTACTTACCAATTAATAAATAGCTTCTGTACATGGCAGGATGGAGAAGCAAATACAAGTAGCCTAACTGTCCAACTTTCCCCTTAGGCTTTACTCTGAGTTGTTTTTGGGTATTTATTCATTTCTCTGAAATAGCATTCCTCTGACAAATAAGGGCAACTTATGTTTTAGTCAACATGTGAGAGCCAGCTTCTGAACACCTAGCAAACACGGAAATCTAGACGTTGATCTAACTCCAAACGACTTTCATTCTTAATATGCTGGTCTCGCAAATGCCTAGAATAAAATTGACAGCATTTCTGAATCTTTTACATGTTGTTTCCACTAGATGAACTATTTTAGGTGATTTGAACGTTACAACATTGATGGTTACACCAAAATTCCTCCAAAGAAAATCATACGGTAGATTGCCTCCCTATGGGGTCAGGGAGATGTCTTGGTTAAAAAAAAATCACCTAATTTATTTATTCTACCACTCAGTAGGATAAATGGTATTTTGGTAATGTCTATAAATACGTGAGCAAGATCACTACTTGATAATCCATATTTGTTTGCTTACTTCTATTTTTAAGGCAGACACTTTAGACCTTGTTAAAAGGGACCATTTCTCTGTTGAACATATTCTAATCCTAACTCTCCCTTTTGCACAAAATAGTGAGATTAGGTAATACAGATGTTAGTGTGGAATGAAGGTTTTTCTAGCCACCTGTAAGTAGCTTTCCCAGAGCTAAGTAATCCACAGACCCTCTTCTCAAATTGATCTTGGGGAAGAGTATCCCGTTGGAGCACATTCCTTGATAGGCCAGATAAGCCAGCCTTGACTGTCTTGCGTCTACGTATTCGATTCATTCAAAAATTTAACAAGTGCCTACCATGTCCCAAATACCGTGCCAGTTCTTAGAGTTACTAAAATGAATAAGATACAGTCCTTGTTTGCTTTTTTGAGTTTAATGTAGCAACTAAGCTCACATGAAAGAGTGGTGAGGGATTCACGCATTCCTTCAAAAATCTCCAAGTGCCTATTGACACACTGGGTTCAGTCCTATAGGCTGGCCTGTTGTAGGAAAAGAGAAAGACATGGAGCCAGTTTTCATAGAGCTGATGGCTTATTAGGGAAGACATCACCATTGATTAAATTACACAATAAGCACTCTAATTATGGAAAAGCAGAGGATGCTTAAGAGCATATAATAAAAGGTAGAGATAATAATTGATTTTGATAAGAAAACTACTGGAAATTAAGATACAGCAACCAGTAAAACTCAGAAACCAAGTCTTAGTAGATTTAAATTCTTCTGCAAGCAGTTCATTCTTTCAAGCAATAAGTGGGAGGCTTTAAGCTTAGCCAACTGGGTCTATAAACCCAATAATAAAAGCAGATTAGAGGCTGTTATCTGTGGTCTGTCTGGGTCCAGCTTCTCTAGATGATGACTAGGTTTTCCCATAAAACTTCACAATTTTGCACTGATGACTCCCGCAGGTCCTGTCTACTTAGGAAACTTTAATGACACACACTTAAGACATCTGTGAGAAGCTGAATAATGTCTCCTAAAGATGTCCACATTCTATTCACCAGAACCTATGAATGTGACCTTTTATGGCAAAGGGACTCTGCAGATGTGACTAAGGATATAGAAATGGGGAGAGTAGCCTGAATTACCTGGGTGGGCCTGATGTAATCACAAAGGCCCTTACAGGAGGGAGGCAGGAGAGGAGGGTGAGAAGGTGGCTATGTTAGACAACAGAAGCAGAGATCAGAGTGATGGAGTCAGGACCAAGGAATGCAGCAGCCTCTAGAAGCTGCAGAGACAAAGGATTGGATGTTTTTCCCCCAAGAATTCAGGGGAAAACCGCCCCACTGACATCTTCATTTTAATCCCTTAAGATTCATTTTGTAGACTGAACTCCAGAACTGCAATAGAATAAATGGGTGCTGTCTAAAGCCACTAAGTGTGTGGCAACTTGTTACAGCAGCAACAGGTAACTAATACAACACTCTATTACTTATGTAAACTAAAAAGAGTCTTGGGAGTCTTTCTGGAAAAGTTAGTTTGATTGGCACTTTCTAACCACTGGTCTATTTTGCTGCCATTCTGTTGGTAAAAGCAAAATATTCATCCTCCTCCTCCCCTTCCTTGGTTACAGTATCCATTCAGAGAAAACTATAATGGAAAACTTGATGACAATAACTAGTATGGGCAGAACTGCTGCCCTCTACCAATTTTCTTCCCTATTAACTTCAGAATTACGTTTCCCAATCTAACTATGCTGCATTAGAGGCAAGTATATTATAGGCACAACAATTGATTTCAGTTCACCGTTTTTCTATTTTGTATTTTCAGGGAAATTGGTGGGGGGAGATGTGAGACTTTAAAATATTTGCTGATCATAATCTGTTCCCTTGAAAAAGACCGATATAGTGAAGTGCTGTCCTTGACGCTCTCACACTTCAGGACCCATTGAAAGAATTAGAGTGGCTGAGGGCAGTTGTCTGACAGATCACGCTCCAGCTGCAGGCGATGTAAAATATGTTCTAGTCCCTCTTGTACATTCACACACCTATAAGTTGATCCTCCTACACAATTAAATGGATGCATGCCACCTGCAGTAGCAAATAGGAAAACAAACATCCTATATATGGTGAAATGTGTCTACAATAAAGTGGCTCTAGGAAGCAAATGAATGTATTGTATTATCACCAGCAAGCACATCGCAGCTTTGACAATTTTAAAACCCTAACCTGACATGAGGAATATTTACCAACTTTAATTTATTATTTTTTTTTAATGGAGGTACTGGGGATTGAACCCAGGACCTCGTGCATGCTAAGCATGTGCTCTACCCCTGAGCTATTCCCCCTGCCCCCACTCTGAATATTTACCAACTTTCAAGTGCTTCCCAGTGCTGAATGGTTTACCTCTCTGGATCCACTCCTCACCCTGTGCTTGCCCCGGAGGCTGACTTGTGCAGACTGTATCCACGGGCTTCCTTCTGCATACTGCCTTCTCTTCCATGGTTTCTGGAAGCTCTGCCCACACATTGGTAAATCATTCATTTACTAAGCTCTCCTCCAGGTTGAGTGTGCATTTTGCCCATCTTACACAATCCTTTCATTCAATTTCTTCCAAGTTACATTTTGAAGCAAAGCAATTCCTTCAGAATCTATTCTATTCAAAATCAATTATTCTGCAAGGTCTGGACTGGTTATTTTAATAACAATTTGGCAACATCTGCTGCTGACATTTTTCAATAAATGAGCAATCTCTTCTAAGCTTTATATTACAGAGCTCTAGGGTCTCAGCTGAGAAGTTGTCTAAATGTTTCCACAGATGCAAAGCTCTTTTCAAGGAGAAATTTAGACCTATAGGGAAGACGGATTACTCTTCATCTGGGTGGAAATAACAGTGAGACTTATATTTCTGCAACAGAGTATCTTGACTGTCAAGCATGGCACAGAAAGCATATGAATCTCTTTAACTAGCAAATATTTCCATCACTCACTAAAGAATTTAACCACGCAACGAGTTGATCTAGCAAAAATTTGCTAACATTTTGTTCAACATTGAACATCCACCCACCTCAATAAATAAAACTCCTACATTTTACCCCATTCTATAAATATAAAATGGTATCTCTATATTTCCCTATATATATTAATATATAATTAAACAAAGGTGTTTAATTTCATTGTTTTGCTACAATTACAAAGGACACCTCTGTACATATCAACTTGCACACACCTGCACTGGAGAAGTACTAAGGCAAAGACAAAAGGTATATTATGTTTCACTTTTTCCAAATGCATGTTTTGATTTGCTTATGAATTGTGAAATCACTTTTGTCTTCACCAATATTCTTTTCATTTTACAGTAAAATATAATAGCATAGAAAATACAATGCAACATACATAGTAAGGGTATTGTTTTATGAAACTTTGTTGTGGAGATATACACAGATGGATATGTATGCAGGTGTGTATACTGTGTGTGCCACAATGTGAAACATTTTTCTTACAACAGGCTATGGTCAAAATATCTGAAAATTCTTCCACAATATACACATAGAAGCAGAATTTCTGTGTCATAGAACATTTACATTTTCAACCTGACTTGCTATTGACAATCTAGTTGATGAATACATTTATGCTTCTGCCAGGATTAAGTGAATTCCTTTTACTTCATACCTTCAAAATATGGTATTAGGACTCTTTTTTCCTTCAATCTAATGGATTTTAAATAACTTAATGCTGTTTCAGTTTGTATTTTTCTGATTCATTAGCGGGGTGGAGCATCTTTTCGCCTCTGAATTGCCTAACAGTATTTTTCGTAAACTTTCCTATTATTTTTCTTTCTGATCTGCACTAATTCTTTCTATATTCTGAATACTGATTGTTATCTTTTACAGAAGTTGCAAATATTTTTTCCTAACCTATCACTTTTCTTTTAACCTTGTGGTACGTCTGGTCATATAGAGAGAAGTCTTCAGTTTAGATGCAGCGAAATCTCTCTCTCTCTTTTTGAATGATCTGTAATTTTTACTTCTTGCCTGAAAAATCCATCTACCCCCCAAGGTCGCAAGAACACTCTCTTATATCACTTTATAACAGTGTTAAAGTTTTGCTTTTTTTTTCATTTAGGTCTTCCATTCAACTGGAATTTATCTTTTTTATGGTGAGGTCCTAGGTTTATCCTCTTTGATATGGAAACCCAGTAGTTCCCACATCGATAACTGAATAGTTCGCTCTTTTCCCACTGATTTGCATGCCATCTTCAAAAAAATGCCAAGTTGTTACAGAAGCTCAGCCTTGTGCTGGGATCTCTATTATGTTCTGTTGATCTGCCTGTTTACTGCTGCACCGACACCGCAGCTTTATAACTTTCATAACTTTTATAACTGGGAAGTTGAGTCTTTTGTGTGTGCTCTTGTTTTGGGGGATTGTTGAGTATTTTTGGAACTTCACTTTTCTATATGAGTCCAAGAATTATTTTGCCAAGCTCTTTCTAAAAAAAAAATCTTGTTAAGATTTTAATCAATATTGCCCCTGTCAACATCTCTGTTGAAACGGCCTCAGCAAAACCAGATGCCTCTCTCCCTGTAGACTCCGGCAGAAAGACAAAAACAAAAACAAAAAATGATGCATCATAAATGTGGCCTCCTCCTCACTCCCACCTTCCAAATTCCATCTGAATCTCACTGATGGAAACTTCATTGTACCTAGAAGCCTAGCTGCAAAGGGTGTTTGGGAAATGTACATCTTAGTTTCAAAGCCTCTGCAGTATAAGATAGGATAGAACCATGGATTTTAAACTATAGTAGGTCATGAATTTGATTTAGTGGGTCACAAAATGGCATTTTAAAAAACGAAATGGAACAGAATATAAACTATCACTGTACCTAGCAAAAATAAACATTGTTTCATTAAAGCTTTATATATATATATATTTTCAAACAAATACATCGTATAAATTTGTAAGGTGGGAAAAAAGAGACAGAGACAGATATCAAGACAGAAAGAGATGGGAGAGGGAAGAGAGAGAATATGTATAAAACACTGCTTATTGTGGTCATGATCAAGAAAGTCTGAAGGCCCAGGCAACAGGAAGGTGAAGAGATCCTGTGTGCTAATTCACCTTATGTACTACAATATCTTGCTAAGGAAGTTTCCTTTTATTCCTTATCTGTGAATAGCTTTAAATAGGTGTTGAATTTTGTCCAATTATCTTCATGTACTCATTAAGATAATCATAAGATCTTTCTCCTGTTAATGTCCTACACTGATGAATGTTCCAACAATGCATTATCTTTGAATTTTTCTGTTTCTAAAAAATTTTACTTTTTTTTATTGAGTTATAGTCATTTTACAATGTTGTGTCAATTTCCAGTGTACAGCACAATTTCTCAGTTATACATGAACATACATATTAAAAATATTTTGTTATCTTTCATACCCACTGATGCCCTGACTTGGCTGCACGTATCACCCATAATTTCTAGCAGATTCTGTATTTGCTCAATTTGTCAAAGATGCTGCTATACATCCTAACACATTCTCTAAGAAAAAAAGAAAAGGCCTATGTTTTACAATTCTTTATTAAATTCACAAGAAGCCAAAATACCTGCATTTTATTTAGTTTAAAAAATCCTTCATAGAATTCCAATTTAAGAACTGATGATCTAATAAGAATTTGTAATGGAGGAGTAAGTCCTATTAGAAAGCTGCATTTTTATTCTAATTCAATAGAGAGAATTATTTCAATATGCTTTTGTCAGGAATTTAAATCTATCAAAAGTACCCTCATTAATTTGACCTCCATGAAAATACCTGTCCAGAGTACATTTATTTAAGCAGTCTCCCATGAACTTTCATTTGCTTCTTACTTATTTGTTGTATTTTATTTGTTCATTTTTAAATACTAAGGAATGTCTACATTGCTTGAAATCAGCCAAACGACAAATATTGTATTTTCCACGGGCACTGGCTTTAACTCACCAAATCGAGAAACAACAACACGGTGTCTTTCCACATATCCATGTGGTGTCAAGGTTCTGGACAAGCTGTTGATAAGAACTTTGACCCTGGAAGCCCTGGGATTTCTTATGTGTCTTACATTTCTCTTGCTGCTTTTTAGGAGAAAAGAAATGCAATTTTGAACACAAGATATTTGAAAGGAAAAAAAAATGTAATCTTAAAAATTAAAAAAAAAAAGATATTTGAAAGGATACCTTTTACAAATCACCTGCACAAACAAAATACGTTACCTATAAATTAAGAGTTTTCCAATTATTTAATCAACACAGATAGACTCATGTGCACATTCTCCACAATCAACATTCTTCAACAGTTAATAGCAAAAGGGAAAAAAATGTTTTTTTATAAAGGGCAAAGGGATGAAACTTTGCAAAAGATCATTTAGAAAGAAACAAAATATAGTGACACATCTGCACAAGCAGCTGATAGTCGGCCCAGCCTTAGCAACATGTATTCAAACTGTGTATCCTCCCCGGCCTTCTCCCACGCTAGAGCTGGGAAAAGAGGGTACTCAGGGGCCCCTAATGGAATCCCCATTTACCTGGCCAGAGGCAGAGGGGACCCCAGAAAGGTGGATCCCAACTGGTCTTCAAACAGAACAAAGCCACAGCACTGGCTGTCTCTGGGTGTTGGGCCTATGAGTAAGACATTTTTTAACTTCCAGTTTCCACATTTTCTTGTTATTCCTTTTTAACTTTTAAAATGTTTTATTTATTTGTTTATTTATTTATTTATTTATTTAGTGGAGGAGTAATTAGTTTTTTTTTTAAACGAAGGTACTAGGGATTGAAGGACCTCCTGCATGCTCAGTACACACTCTACCACTGACATATACCCTCCCCCCCAGTTTCCACATTTTTAAGAATGAGATGAATGTATTACCCTTACAATGCAAAGAGAGCTCCAACCAACCTAGAATCACTTATATGTTAGTTTGTTGTTTTGTGTTTAACTCCACGACCACTGAAGAAGAGCTTCTAGGCGTCCTTATAAGTTCTTCCTTTCTTTGTCTCTTGATGGTGGGCGGGGTCTCCATCTTCCAGAGAAAGACAGCAAAATCCCATAGTTTGGGAGTTTGGGTCAGATCTGCCTGCGATTTGCAAAAATGATACTGGGAGCAGTTCCACAATTTCCCTGATGGCTAGAAACAGTAACACTTATCAGGTCTCCTGTGTCTAGGCCTGTGTTCTGGGCACACCAGAGAGAAAGAAACAGTAGTAAAGATGTCTCCTTTTTCTACAGAGCCCAATACATAATCAAAGGCATGAAGGACAGAAAAATACTTCAACAAATGAAAAGATACAAGTTGACATAGTGCAAACCAAGAGGTCAAAGGAAGAGGACAGGGGAGCGCTGGAGCCAGTTCAGGGTGACGCCTCCAAGGTTTCCAGAAGCAGAAATGGTGGCGACTTCTCTTTACCTCTAATGAAATTTTTCTCCAAGAGATTTAGTGGAAACGGAAATTCTGAAAACACAGACATTTTCCCAGTTGGGAAAGTGACCGAGAGCAAGGCTGTCCACACTGGCGGACGCCACGTTAGCGCTCCTATGTGAGATGACGCTTGAGCTTTATGGGAAGTACCTTCAGCACATGCTTTTGGGAAACTGAGTACGACTTTTACTTGCTTGAAAGCTGGCCGTACTTAATGAAAGCCAGCACTGCCTGTGAATTACTGTGCCTTCCAGTCTAACGAAACAGGCTGGGGCTGATCGAGGCCCAGAAGAGCTCAAGTCCTTACACGCTGCCCAAGGCCCTCATTGCACAACACTGAGAACAAACAGAAAATTGTGAAACGTAAATTTCTTTTCTTCCTTATTAAAACCAGCACTTCTCCTCCCCCCTTTTAACATACAAGTGCTCAACATGTCACTTGTTGACTGGCCTCCCCCTTTATAAAACGTTGTCATTTACTGGGCCTGGTTGGGAAGTTACTGCTGGTACCAGAATCTGAGATGGAAGTTCTTTTAGAGGCTCACACAAGCGGGAACTGAAGAAATGACATGATTTGAGTACCAAAGGGAGCTACCAGGAAGATGCAGCCACACCTGGCACTCTGAGAAAGTTACTTCGGTACTGTTGGTTTTTCCTAGTGGGTCATCTGTGGGACTAAAGGCACCAGAGCTCAAGCCAATCACTGGCCAGGAACCAAAGCGAGGGCCCAAATTTCCTCAGTTGGAGGGCCTCAGGGCACACAGTGACCTCTCAGAGCTTCTAATCTGGCCCCCAAATAAAATGCTAACACCAACTTGCCTCAACAGATGCCTAGTGAGGAGCACCTGACAGGCAGGTGTCAAGTGTGATGTACAGATTACATCTTAATGGTGAGAAGAAATACTACACAGTTGCCTTTAGGTCACCACGAAGTTGAAAAGCAATGTAATCAAACTTCTAGAAACAAATTAGCTTACCACTCTGGCATGCGGATTTGAGCAATCTGACCAGAGGTCAAAATTTGGAGTTAAACCCGAATTTTGGGCGAATTAGCAACTGTTCACTCAATGCAGTGATGTCCTCACACACAAAATTTCTTCTCCAATTTCCTTTGTGCCTAAAAAAAGAAACATCGGTCCATGCTGAGTACCTTCTACGTGTGTTCAAGCCTGTCTTTCGAAGCCCTCTTCAGTTTCCTGGGAAAGCCTGCCCCCGTGAGAGGCACAGAAAGGGTCCTCTCCTTCCCCAGGGGACGTGGGGGCTCCTCACTTGATCATCTGAGTCTCTTCATCCGCGTCGTAAAATTCTTCCTCTTCTTCACTCTCAGTCCCTGGAGGGCTCTCCTTGTCCGCAGACTAAAACAGGAAGGGAGAAAAGGGCAGTGAGATGACGTCATGACATTTCTAAAATTAAATTACTGTCGAGCATTCAACTGACGAATGTGCTTTTATGACATCTACCCCCCTAAGAACTTGCCCCGCAAGTGTTCTAAGGAAGCTAATGAATCATCTTTATTTCTTGGAAAATCACCTGCTATTAGACCCCAACTTTGTTTTCCAGCAGTTTTGCTCAGTTCTGTTTAATCTAACCAGACATTCTTCTTCTTTTTTTTTTCCTCAAAAACTAACATCATCCAAATCGGAGTGATTAAGAAACATTCCATACCTGAGGGGGATCCAAGGTCTGTAAAGATAGCGCTTCCTCCCCTAGCCTCCGATAGGAATACACCTGAAGGTCAGAAAACGTCTCTAGCAATGGGCTGTTGAGGGTTTCTGGCAGTAATAAACTCAGGAGGCCTGAGGTCAGCCCCGTGGCTCCGAAGACAATGAAGGGTAAAGACCACTGCACATACTTCTGTAGGGGCAGGGAGTGGAACGAAAACAAACAAAGACTCCGTTAGCTTCCTGGCAGATCACATCACACGTTTTATGACCAAGGACCTGTCCTGGTTACCATCCAGGTAACCTTCCCACAAGAATACACTGTAAAGTCCTTCTTCTTCCCCTACAGAGAGTCACCAGGCAACCAGAGTCCTCAGGCACAGAGATGGGAGTGAGTAAACCAAAAAGACAGCACAGGCCTGCGGATCAGAAGCTGCAGGCTATTTTACGCATTTATGCCCAGGGTGGGGACTGGGGGGAGGCCTTGACTGTCTCCGAGCAGGGTGGATGCAGTGCAGCGGCCGGATTTACTCAGCACTGGAGCTGAGAAGCACAGGGTGAGAGGTTATAAACACCCTGAAAAGGAAGAGAAAAGCCTAGAGAAACCCACACACGTGTTTGGAAACCTGATCTGAACATCAGGGCTGGTCCAAAAGATAGTCTCAGGAAAATGTAAACAGTTTGTTTACATACAAACGGGTTCAAAGGTCACACCCCAGTCCCTGCAGGAGGTGGCTCTGGGGATTTCTGAGCTGATTACCATTCCTGAATTCCTGCATGGGAGCCACCCAACTTTATCGCCTCCTGGTTTGGGCTTCCAAATTCTGTGGATCAGGCCTCTACAAGTCAGGGTGTCCCCTCTGATCATCTTTTCCTGATTTTTCAAAAGTGAAGACATGATGGAGAAGGAGAGGGAGGAAGGGGAGGGGGAGCGAGAGGGAGCGGGGCGGGGTGGGGGAGGAAGCCTGACCTCTGGCCCCCTGCATGCAAACACATGCCTAGAACTGTGGTTGTAGGTGATTGTTGAACCAAGGGGAACTTGGCCCTCTCACCTCTTCCCAACTTAGTGGGAATCAGTGGAGACACAGAGCTGGGTGTTCTAAGGCTCTGAGAGAGCCGTCCAAAGGCGGGTGTCTTTAATGATAAACACCTCTTGGTGGACACATTTTGCAGAATGGAACTAATATGACTCCTTCAGAAGAGGGGGCTCATGATCTCAAACTGATCATGAAACATGAAGAGATACTGAGAAAAAGGAAGTGTGTCACACTTCCTCAGGAAAAGGAAGGGCTACAATGGCATTTCAGAGGCGTCTTGTACTAGGATGTGGTGAATAAAGATGCCTGAGTGATGAGCAGTTACCTATGGAACAGGCTTACAAGCCCCACTCTCCCATCAAGGAGCCTTGGCCGGGAAAGTCAGGCAGGAGACCAGGCAGAGATGCGCACAGGGGCTCCGAGGAATCTTTCTTGGAACCTGGATGGATTTTATGGCTGTCATGTACTCTTATTCCCCTTTCATATATTTCTCTTCTAATTCTCTTTCCCAATTGGTGTGCCCTGTTCTCCTCTTTAATACAGGGGTAACAACAACGCCTGCCTCATATGGCTGCTGTGAAGACTGCACGAGATGATATACACAGAGGGCTCAGCAATGAGCCCAGCACACAGCAGAAACGTAGGAACTGTTCACTGACCGACTAACTGATCCATGGGGACCAGAAGGGACAAGCTGGCATCAGCTGTCTCTCCAGCGAATAGAGACCATCCATGGCAAGGGTCCATCTGCCCTGACCCATCTTTTATCTAAAAGGCACAAGGTTCACATATGTGTCAGGCTGATCTTCCACGGCAGCTGTTTGTTACCTCTTTCTACTCAAAAGCACAAAGCAGAGACTCAGGAAAAACAAAAGTAGGAGGTACAAACCAACCAGTGAGGGGACGAAGGGAGCAATAATTCCACCAACTCGGGAGAACATGGAACAAGTTCCAAGCCCAACGTTCCTGAAAGGCATAAGAGAAAGTAAAATCAGAAAGTTCTAGAGGGAAAACTGAAAGACTCTGGGGCATGGTGCACCCTAACAACGTGTCCCAAAGGGGGAGCACAGGACGCGAGAGTGCTGCCTGCTAGGACTTTCGGTGATGCTGCAAATGTGCCCTGTCCAACGTGGAAGCCCCAGACACATCCTGCTACCGAGCCCTCAGTGTGATGGAGACGGAGAAACAGAATTTTCCATTCACTTCATTTTAATTCATTTAAACAGCCACATGTGGCTAGTAACTACCATACTGGACAGGGCTGGGACAGAGGCTGGTGCAGAAATGAGCATGTGAGTATTTCTTGTTAAATGTTCTGAAGGGTTTTTGTGTCTTAGGTTTCCCATCAGTTAAAACAGCTATAGAAGAGCCAGGACTTCGTGATCTGAGAAGTCTGCCCATTTCTTCAAACTCAACTAATTAACTATTAAAGGGTCAGGCATATACCTAAGAATTGACTGAGCACAGATTCTCAGGAAACCAAGAACATTACCCCCTTGGGGAGCGTGGGTATCAGCGAGGGGGGAGGAAGGGAGGATGATGACGTTACAGACAGGGTGACGGTACGTCAGCCCGTTACCCCAGCCTAATTGTTCATAATGCCCACATTCACTCTCAAAAGTAACCCAGTTTGCACCAAATGGTCATCTTAGTTTTATAGCCAACAGCCAGAGAAAAGTAGGTGGTGGGAACAATCAGGCAATGACCGGGTGACTGCATAACCTCATCTCTTACCAGGAAAAAGGCAGACAGAACCCCTGGGCTCCTGGCACGGATAAGGGAAACGGAAGGTTCTGATTGGGATGATTCTTACAAGAGTCTGGGGAAGAGCTGTCTGGGGGGTACAGCCCAGCCCACACAGGCAGTTCTGCAAAGTCTAAGTTGGACTCCTACCCTTCAAGTTTAGGTGTTTTTTTTTTGTTTCGTTTACAAGCTTATTTTATGAGGGGGAACTTAGAAATGGTTGGTTTTGATATAAGCATGGCCAACTGACTAGAAACCACCTTTCACAACTAATTTGTAAATCTCATATTCACTTATTACCGTACGGAATTATCTTTTTAAAAATACATATACTTTGTGCTAAAATATAGGCTCTGTGATAACAGGGACTTTGTCCCCTGGTCCATCATGTGCCTGACACAGGAGGGGTGGCCAAATAAAGTGAATCCGCTGAAATAAAAACGGCATCTGAGCACTACCAGGTGATGGGACGTGCGTAGGGTAGAGACCTTCTTTTGTGATTTACATCAGGGAATTCAGCCCAAGATAAAGCTACGTCCTCCTTATCCCGGCGGGTGAGTAGCAGTGTCCACAGTGTCTGGGGTCACAACTGCTTGCTGAGTGGCTGCTGGGCCCCCGTCACTGTTCTCCAGGTGAGGGGAGAACCACGCCTCCGGTGATGCAAAACCCTCCAGCAGGGCGCAGGCCCAGGGAAGGAGAGGGGGCTGAGTGCAGGGCGTACCTGATGACTGTGGGGTACAGCTCCGATGTGTAGATGTACACGATGTTGAAGGCCGCACTGATTGTCAGCTTCCCCAGCAGGGACAAGGAATGGCTGTTCACCACCGCAAACACCCCTGTGTCTGAGGAGGACAAGAGTGACGCCTGTGAGGTTCTTAGGGGAGGAAAACTCCACCAGGTGACAGATTTAATTCTGAAGGAGCGAGAGGTGCTCCTGTTGATCTCAACCAGCGAAGAGGTACTATAACAGAACACACATCCAGAAGGTGCAGTCATGACACACAGCACACACGCAAATACTTCTCGGCATTTAGGCCACTCCCGGGAAATCTCACACCTTGACTGTCACAACGCGTGATGAAACCGGCATTCACCCCGGAGCAACAGAGCTCCCCGAAAACTTCCGTACTGGAGTCAAGTTTCCAGAAAAGTCTATTTAAGGGTGTTACTCGCCTCTCCTTTCTTCCCAAACTTGTTCAACAATCAATGATGTAAAATGATGTAAAATCATTCAGCACGACAAACCTGCGCACGTGAGAGAAGAAAGTCCAGAAAAACTCCTATCTAGTTTGCATTCTGTTTGAGGTTCTGTTGCAAAGATAAGGAATAATCCCATTAAACTACCATAGAAGATATAAAACTGAATGTTCTTTCACAGCGGAAAAAAAATGTGATAATGAATATGTGTATGTTCATGTATAACTGAAAAATTGTGCTCTACATTGGAATCTGACACAACATTGTAAAATGACTATAACTCAACAAAAAAAAGTTAAAAAAAGAAAAAAAACTTTAAAAAAAAACAAAAACTGAATGTTCTTTAACAAACAAGACTCTAAGCATGGAGCTACTTTTAATCCTTCCTCCTTTCCAACTTCGTACTTGGATTATTAATCCATAATGATATTTGAGTTTCTTAATGGAACGTTTTTACATACAATGCAAAGATACCATTTATGTCTTTTCATTTCCTTATCAAAAATGTTATCAATTGTCCAATGGTTCATTCCTTTATTAACACTATCTTCTCTGGGATCTCACAATTTAATTATTCCCTTGCAAACAGATTTAACATCTCCCCTTCAACGACCCACTAGCTTCTACCTTCAAGAACAGTTTTCTCCTTTGGAAGAAAAAACAAAAATGCTCACTAACTCTGTGATACTTTCTCCCCTTCACTATCAAACGTCTCCAGCGAGGGACCAACCTTCCATTTCTTCAGATGCATCTGCCCAGTAACTCAGTACAATGTGGCTTCAGTACCACCCTCTCTGAAACTTCTATTCTTGAATGTTGACAGCAATGTCCTAATCACCAAGGTAACTGCCTCTCATTCTCCTTGATATTTCGGCCCTAATAGAACACGCCTGCCCCTTGCCTGGGACTGCATGCTTGGCTCATCTAAACCACTCTTCCCTTAAATAACTCAAGTGCAATCAATATCCTCTCCTTCCTTTGACCTCCACTGCCTTGATTTCCCAATCCCTGCAAGCGGCGTGCTTCAGACACTCTCTGGTAGCTGCTTTTTTTTTTCCATCTGGCCTGCCCAAAATGTGTTTTGAGTTGTCTCAGGCTAAGGCCTTGTTTGTGTCTGTTTCCCTCACAGCACCTCCCACAGTATGATGCACAGGGGTGTTCACTAGACATTTAGTGAGTGAATAAGGGTAAGGACTACAACAGGAATTAATTTGGGTGAAAAAGAATCTGTGTTCATGCTCTCTCAACATTTGAGGAGGGAGGCACATAAGACCCTCCTTTCCAAAGTGCAAGCTTCACATTTCCAGCTTGACTATGAAATAAATCCTCATCTACTTTAAAGATGGCGTCCTGCATGCAGTGGCCCAGGCTCTGCCAAACTCCACCATCTGCGGCCGCCTTCTCTTCTGCCAGGCTATATGGAAGGATGTGTCGGCAGTTTTAGGTACTGAATATATTATTTTAAGCCATGAGGTGCTTGTGGAAAAAGAACCATGCCTTTCAGCATTCACCCCAAGATATACGTCTGCACTTCTGATATCTAACAATTTTAGTTAAACCAATAATGAGGGCAAATTAAATGCATCAATTATTTTCCAGAAACCTGAGTGAGTCAGGAAGAGGTCTTGGGTGGCACCGAACCAAACAGAAATGTGCACATTTGCCTGACTACCAATGATCTTTGGGACTGTTTTCAACCCATATAGGATGGCATCTTTCAGAACTGTATTGCAGACACTCTGCGACATCTTTAAAACTTGTCAGGGGATTGCCATCCTGAAAATTAAATTCAAATAACATGTCACAGAAGGCTTATCATCTAAACGCCCACAAGACCCAAGTCTGGAAGAAGTCTCCCAGCTCAGGACACTTCTGGCTGTGGCCCATCTGGGGAGCCTGGCTCCAGATGCATACCCACAGGGTGCCCCCTCCAGCCTGACACCTCATCTGATGCTTGCAACTTGTCTCCTATGTTCCGGCCAGCGGAGTCTGCAGTGGCCACTTGAACCTGGGGGAACTAACTTACTCCCAAGGTAGCCCATGTCAATTTCAGACAGCTCTGTTAGCAAATTATTTCTTAGCCGTCTGTGGAGCTGCTGGGTTGTTCAGGAAGGCACTGCAGCCACTGGGCTGGTTCCCTGAATTTCTGATCTTGAAAATGAAGCCAGATATCATTGGCTATTACCAACAAATGTTCAAAGT